TCTGTGCTCTGCCTACCACGGGTATCGAAAACCGGTTTCTAGCGTTGTAAGTCCGCAGACATACTGCTGTGCCACTTGGGAGGGGGGGGGGCAATTCAGTGATGGAAAAGTAAGTTTAACACCGTAATTCCTAAACTGAGTTTGTAGCTAGGGAGCTCGACTTGCAATGTGAGGGTCGCGGGTTCAATTCCCCGTCCCACCAAACATGCTCGCCCTTTGAGCCGTGGGGGTGTTATAATGTGACAGTCAATCCCACTATTCGTTGGTAAAAGAGTAGCCCAAGAGTTGGCGGTGGGTGGGGATGACTAGCTGCCTTCCCTATAGTCTTTCACTGCTACATTAGGGGCGGCTAGTGCGAATAGCCCTCGTGTAGCTTTGCGCGAAATTCAAAACAAACAAACTGAGTTATATCATTACGAAACTCACTCGGGCAATATTGAAAATATTACTTGCTGCAATATCAAGTACCATTGTCAGGATGGACACTAATCGAAAATGGTTATGAGCATTTTAAACAGTTGCGAAACGGCACCCTTAGTAAAATTTCCTGAATCCAATGAATTGCCTCAGTCGTGATTCTCTACGCATGAACGCAATATATTTCACCTTTATGTTTCACGGTTCTTCGTACACAGACCGTTTCAAAAGCATATATTGACTTTATAACCACTTCGCTTGTCTTTCTCTAATGAGTTGATGGATAAAAACATTTCTAACATAAAACAAGTGATTTAATATATTTGGTGAGAGTTTACATGATAAGTAAACCTACTTTAATATAATTTCACTGTTCTCTTTCTAACTTTATTTCAGTTTGATTTGGCCCGGCATGGCCAGGTGGTTAGGGCACTCGACTCGCAATCTGAGGGTCGCGGGTTCGAATCTCCGTCCCATCAAACATGCTCGCCCTTTCAGCCATGGGGGCGTCATAATGTGACGGTCAATCCCACTATTCGTTAGTAAAAGAGTAGCCTAAGAGTTGGCGGAGGGTGGTGATGACTAGCTGCCTTCCCTCTAGTCTTACACTGCTAAATTAGGGACGGCTAGCGCAGATAGCCCTCGTGTAGCTTTGCGCGAAATTCAAAACAAACAAACAAACAAACAATCAGTTTGATTTACATACCACTCTGCCATTTTAATCTGTTAGGCATCTGAGGTTTTATAAGTTAAGTACAGTATGCTTAGTGGTGTTCAAACGTGTTATATTCTTCTCTTCTATACTTCCTTACTCGCCAGTGGCACATCGATTATGTCTGCGGACTTATACCGCTAGAAACCGGGTTTCGATAACCGTGGTGAGCAGAGCACAGATGAACTATTTGTGTAGATTAGTTTGTTTTGTTTGTTTGAAGTTAAGCACAAAGTTACACAATGGACTATCTGTGCTCTGCCCACCACGGGTATCGAAA